ACTTCTGCTCTGTGAAAGATGATGTCAAGAGAATGAGAAAACAAGTCACAGACTGGAAGAAAATATTTGCAAAAGACAACTGATAAAGGACTATTACCCAAAATATACAAAGAACTCTTAAAATGCAACAATAAGAAAACCATGTGATTTAAAAATAATCCAAAGACCTGAACAGACACCTCACCATAGAAAACAAAGAGGCAAGTAAGCGTATGAAAAGCTGTTCTACTTCCTATGTCATTAGAGAATTGCAGATTAAAACAACAAGGTACCACTATACACCTCTTAGAATGGCCCAAATCCACAACACTGACAATACCAAATGCTGGTGAGGATGGAGAGCAATGAGAACACTCATTCATTGCTGGTGGGAATGCAAAATGGTATAGCCACTTTGGAAGACAGTTAGTGGTTTCTTACAAAACTAAATTTACCCTCACTAAACAATCCATATATTTTCCTTTGCACAATTTGCCACCCTTAGAAATTCAAAGTCCTTTTCCTTTGTCTTGTTACTTCTCTAAAAACTTATTGTTCTTTTGTTAAGATGTTACATAAGCTCAAGTTCTAACCGTCCCTTTGAGTTACTCATGTATGAATGCTCCCATGTATATGTGCAAATGAACGTTAATGAATTTCTTTGTTCTTCTCTTGTTAATCTATCTTTTGTTAGTCTAATTTACAGGGCCCCAGTTGAGAACTTAGGTAGAGAAAAAGGACTTTTTTCTTCTGCTTAAGAGGATTATTTAAGAAGTACTATAAGAGGATTTGTTGAAATATAGGATTACTAGCAACAAACCATCTTAAAAATAATGTCTAAATAATTTCACTCAATCACTAAAAAACCCACTGGCATGATTTCCCTCTAAACCATTCTATTTCAGAAACAGGGCTCAACTGGCTACTGGACAACACACAAAACGGCCATTCAGAACCTATGGCAGGATCTACAATTTCAACGCAGTTAATGCGGAAGATCCAAGAATAGGGAACACATGAATTCATTAAGGCAGCTGGGGAATGTGGCAAGACGGAAGGTTTCAGGAATGTAGGTAAGGTCTCCTTTATTTCTGATAGAATAATGCAGATCGCTCAGCACTTCTTGGTGATAATGAGCACAGAGGGGCTGCAGATGACCTCATCCAATTCACTCAATTACTAGGTGAAAGAGTTTCTTCCAATATCCTAAAACCTTTTAGTTAGCAAGTTCATGTTTAGTGACCAGAACCCAGGATTCCTGCCTCACTATATTTACTTTTTATTTTCCCAAAGGTTTGAGACCATTTGCAGAATGCAGAGAAAGGAGAGAAGTCTTTAGAAAACTTCAGTAGAAAAGGAGCCTGCTGGCAACATCTGACCAGGATCTCCCAACTAGAAATGACTGGGAGATGCCAAAGGAGTTGTAAGGCTACCACCCCAAAGTCAATCCATTTGGGCTTCCCAGAGGGGGAGGTGAGGGCTTCAAGTTCTATTCAAGGCAAATGTACTGGGAGGTTTTTGTTGGATAGGCCTGGTTAATTTTGACCTTGGGCAAGTTCTTTCCCATCTCTGATCCTGTTTCCTTATTTCTAAGATACACATTAAATACCCCTAAAATGATTCCACAAAATGTCAGAATCAGCTAAAGTCACTTAATAGCACAATAATATAAGAGGGTGGAATGGGGCTGGCCCGGTGGCCGAGTGGTTAAGTTCGCGCACTCCGCTGCAGGCGGCCCAGTGTTTCGTCGGTTCGAATCCTGGGCGCGGACATGGCACTGCTTGTCAGACCACGCTGAGGCAGCGTCCCACATGCCACAACTAGAGGAACCCACAACGAAGAATACACAACTAACTGTTCCAGAAAATTGAGAAAGATGGAGAACTCCCTAACACATTCTATGAAGCCAACATCACTCTGATCCCCAAACCTGACAAGGACAACACAAAGAAGGAGAACTACAGGCCGATATCACTGATGAACATAGATGCAAAAATCCTCAACAAAATTTTGGCAAACCGATTACAGCAATACATCAAAAAGATTATACACCATGATCAAGTGGGATTTATACCAGGGACACAGGGATGGTTCAACATCCGCAAGTCAATCAACGTGATACACTACATCAACAAAATGAAAAACAAAAACCACATGATCATCTCAATAGATGCAGAGAAAGCATTCGACAAGATCCAACACCCATTTATGATAAAAACCCTCAGTAAAATGGGCATAGAAGGAAAGTACCTCAACATAATAAAGGCCATATATGATAGACCCACAGCCAACATCATACTCAATGGACAAAAGCTGAAAGCCATCCCTCTGAGGACAGGAACAAGACAAGGGTGCCCACTTTCACCACTCCTATTCAACATAGTACTGGAGGTGCTGGCCAGAGCAATTCGGCAGGAAAAAGAAATAAAAGGAATCCAAATAGGTAACGAAGAAGTAAAACTCTCGTTGTTTGCAGACGACATGATCTTATACATAGAAAACCCCAAAGAATCCACAGAAAAACTATTAGAAATAATCAACAACTACAGCAAAGTAGCAGGGTATAAAATTAACGTGCATAAATCAGTAGCATTTCTATACACTAACAATAAACTAACAGAAAAAGAACTCAAGAACTCTATCCCATTCACAATCGCAACGAAAAGAATAAAATACCTTGGGATAAACTTAACCAAGGAAGTGAAGGATCTATACAATGAAAACTACAAGACTCTCTTGAAAGAAATAGGCGATGACATAAAGAGATGGAAAAACATTCCTTGTACATGGATTGGAAGAATAAACATAGTTAAAATGTCCATACTACCTAAAGCAATATACAGATTCAATGCTATGCCAATCAGAATCCCAAGAAACATTCTTCACAGAAATTGAACAAACAATCCTAAAATTCATATGGGGAACAAAAGACCGCGAATTGCTAAACCAATCCTGAGCAAGAAAAACAAAGCCGGCAGAATCACAATCCCGATTTCAAAACATACTACAAAGCTACAGTGATCAAAACAGCATGGTACTGGTACAAAAACAGGTCCACAGATCAATGGAACAGAATTGAAAGCCCAGAGATAAAACCACACATCTATGGACAGCTAATCTTCGACAAAGGAGCAGAGGGCCTACAATGGAGAAAAGAAAGTCTCTTCAACAAATGGTGCTGGGAAAACTGGACAGCCACATGCAAAAGATTGAAAATTGACCATTCTTTTTCACCACACACCAAAATAAACTCAAAATGGATCAAAGACCTAAAGATTAGGCCTGAGACAATAAGTCTTTTGGAAGAGAATATAGGCAGTACACTCTTTGACATCAGTTTCAAAAGAATCTTTTCGGACACTGTAACTCCTCAGTTGAGGGAAACAATAGAAAGAATAAACAAATGGGACTTCATCAGACTAAAGAGCTTCTTCAAGGCAAGGGAAAACAGAATTGAAACAAAAAAACAGCTCACTAATTGGGAAAAAATATTTACAAGCCACATATCCGACAAAGGGTTAATCTCCATAATATACAAAGAACTCACACTGCTTAACAACAAAAAAACAAACAACCCGATCAAAAAATGGGCAGAGGACATGAACAGACATTTCTCAAAAGAAGATATGAATATGGCCAATAGACACATGAAAAGATGTTCATCATCGCTAATCATCAGGGAAATGCAAATCAAAACTACACTAAGATATCACCTTACCCCGTTAGATTGGCAAAAACATCCAAAACCAAGAACGACAAATGTTGGAGAGGTTGTGGAGAAAGAGGAACCCTCATACACTGTTGGTGGGAATGCAAACTGGTACAGCCACTATGGAAAACAGTATGGAGATTTCTCAAAAAGTTAAAAATAGAAATACCCTATGACCCAGCCATCCCATTACTGGGTATCTATCCTAAGAACCTGATAACAGATATCTCAAGAGTCCGTTGCACCCCTATGTTCATCGCAGCATTATTTACAATAGCCAAGACGTGGAACCAGCCTACATGCCCAGAAACTGATGACTGGATAAAGAAGATGTGGTATATATACACAATGAAATACTACTCAGCCATAAAAAAAGACGAAATTGGCCCATTCACAACAACGTGGATGGACCTCGAGGGCATTATGTTAAGCGAAATAAGTCAGTCAGAGAAAGACGATCTCTATATGACTCCACTCATAGGTGGAAATTAGTATATTGAGAAGGAGATCTGATCGGTGGTTACCAGGGAAAAGGGGGGGTGGGGGGAGGGTACGAAGGGGGAAGTGGTGTACCCACAACATGACTAACAAAAATGTACAACTGAAAGTCTCACAAGCTTGTAATCTATCATAACATTAATAAAAAAAAAAAAAAAAAAAGAGGGTGGAAGATAAGTAAAAATTACACTGAGGAAGTATCTTTAACTGATTAAAATGAAAGGTAAGGGCTGGTTTTTTTTTTAAGTTGAGCTTTTTAAAAAAAGAAAAACAAATCATTGTATTAGTTTGCTCCGGCTGCCATAACAAAATACCACAGACTGGTGGCTAAACCAACAGAAATTTCTTACAGTTCTGGAGACTAGAAATCTAAGATCAAGGCGTCAGTAGATTTGGTTTCTTCTCAGGCCTCTCCCCTTGACTTGCAGATGACTATCTTCTTGCTGTGTCCTTACATGATCTTTCCTCTGTGGTACATTCCAAGTCTCTCTTTTGTGTTCCAATTTCTTCCTCTTATATGGACACCAGTCACATTCGATTAGGGCCCCCCAAAAGGCTCATTTTAACTTAATCAGCACTTTAAAGGCTTTATCTCCAGATATAGTCACATTTTGAGATATTGGGGGTTAGGACTTCAAGATATGAATTTTGGGGGCATACAATTAAGCCTGTAACCATCATCTATTCTAATGTTCTCATTTCAAAACACTGTTACCGAGTGCATACTTCTGGGGAGAAATTATTTTGTTACCATGCAAAATTGGGGTTCTCTGCCCAATGCACATAAATAAGCCAATTAATTATGACATCAGCCTTTGTGGGAGAAATCAGCTTTTTATTCTGTGAGATTGATGTGCAGGGAGCCAGGGGACACGTGCCCTCAGATCTGTCTCCCCAATTCAAGATTTGGGATGAAATTTAAGAGGTTAGGGAGGATAAGCTGGCACACATAAACGCTGGTGGAACAGGTTTTGATAAGTGGGCTTCAAGCATTTATGGTAAGGTTTTAAACATTTATGACAGGGTTCTAAACATTCATGATGAGGTTCTAAACATTTATGATGGGGTTTTAAACATTTTTGATGAGGTGGGTAAGGAATTTTAACACGGGATCTTCCTGAATGAGGGACCCCTCGCTTCTGATAAGAGTCCAACTTTCAAGATCTGGTCGTGTCCTGGTCCTTGGGTTCCGTGGGAAGGAGGATCTTTGGTTCCAAGGTTGTTTCTGGTCACCACTTCTTTTGCACATGCCCTGGCTATGTGACTTGGCAGATTTTCTGAAAGTCGATTCCTAATCACTCTGTTGATAAGAGATGGGGTCAGCTTAACTGGTCCTGGAGGGCTGGGGGTTACAATTTTATTTTAGGGCATTTTTACATACTTTAAAATAGGATACATACTACAATTAGTTGAATTACATTAATATTTTCCTATAGATAACTTACACCTAGAAAGCTAGTTAACAAAATGAAAAACTGTTTCATTAGTCTTTACAAATGGTATTTAAGTAGTTTATTATGTGATTCCTGGGAAAATGCATTGTAAAAGATCTTTAAAAGAAGTATATAAAAATTTAAAATATCATTAAGATTTTCATTAGTATACAGTCCAAAACTAAAAATTTTTAAAACTGACTAGTCTGGGAGAAGAAGCTTTGAAAAGAACTTATTTTACTGCTTGACCCTAATTGGTTGCTCATAATACTTGTCCTGTAAGAAGATGGTGAATGATTTATAGGGCTGAGAGGCAAAACTCACAAAATAGAAAGAACAGTATGTATTAGAATTCCACTTAGTGAAGCTTATAGCTAGCTGTTTTAATTACAATTTCAAGTCTTATAGATACAGAAATTCTATTTTTTCCAGCACAAACAGGCGTATCCTTACAATACAAGAGGGAGGAAAACAAACATTAGATTTTAACTACTGAGCCCTTTTCCTTTTTGAGCTTAGAGGATGAAATTTTTTTTTCTTTTCCTTCACAGCTTGGCGTTCATCTGACTCATTAGCTTCTCCAATTTGATTGCTAGGGCCATGTTTCCTTTAATCTTCAATTTTCCTGACATGAATGCCATTGTTGGTTTTAGTTTCCCTAAATTGAGAAAATGAGAGACGGGAAAGCATCCATTAGTGCCCTTAGGGATATACTGCTTCAAGAACATGCATTATAAAAAGAATCTCCTTGAGTTCTAAAACCTCTGAAGCACAGAAATTTCTATTACAGCATTTTTTTTATCAGTATCTTGGGAATCCCAATTCCTAGACTTAGATGTTAACAATATCTTATAATAGGAGAGAGAATGTAAAAACAACAATCAGCAAAGATTATAGCGAAAGGCTGAAGATGTAACATTTATATACTAGTTACAGTACACTGAAGGACATATGACCCTCAAATGAATTGTGGTAAACAAATACCATCTACTTTAGTTAATTTTCCAACCTATTATAGTTTATTAAACTTTTTTTTTTGAAGATTTTATTTTTTTCCTTTTTCTCCCCAAAGCCCCCCGGTACATAGTTGTATATTCTTCGTTGTGGGTCCTTCTAGTTGTGGCATGTGGGACGCTGCCTCAGCGTGGTTTGATGAGCAGTGCCATGTCTGTGCCCAGGATTCGAACCAAAGAAACACTGGGCCGCCTGCAGCGGAGCGCGCGAACTTAACCACTCGGCCACGGGGCCAGCCCCTATAGTTCATTAAACTTTTAACATTTCAAGTTTAGATTGAAAAAATCAAATGGTGTAAACGCATATAATATTCTTAAGAAACAATCATTAAAAGTATAGTGTATGGACACAAAAGTATGTGCTACCCTTATTTTAACCACTGAAATGCCAGGATTTAAAATGTGAGCATTAAAACAGAATTGTCACTAATAACAACATACAATAAATAGAAGCTCCAAAGAGGGAGGAAACTTTATATGCTACTCTCATTCCAACGCTATATAGGGTCTGGCATACAGTGGAATTAATGAGGAAATAGGCTCAGAGAGGATTTTTGACTTTCCCAAGGTCACACAGCTTGTACATGACAGTGCTACAATTCAAAGCCAGGTGTGTCTGATTCTCATTTATAGTTTTCTGAGCTATATTATGCCAATTTATATATAGGTCTTATCTCTAGAAGGCACTACATGTGTCTGGTGCATTAGTAAACCTTTACTGGGCCACATACACAGGCTCTTTGTAGAAAAAAAAATGTGTGGGTTAATGTATTGTGTATATATATTGAGATACTGAACACCTTTAAATTATTCTATACAGGACTTGTAGTAAAGCATTGTAGACTGGTTATGGATAGAAAGGATCAAGTCCAATTCTTTCATTTTAATGAATAAACTGAGCTGTGCAATATTCCAAGGCAATGTGATGTTAAAATACCTCAATTTACAAATAATAGATTAAGGGATAATTTTTATTTACATGGAAGATCTTTATTCTTTGGAGAAACATAACAGCCCCTCCAAAAACTTACAAACACTGATATTTGAGTGCCCTTCAGCCAAAAAACTGGCTCCCTGCTCTGTCACTCTACAGTGAAACCCACTAGGCTACAAGCCCCACTCACCTATATACACTGCTTCCAATCAGCTTTATAAGAGCCTTGCCAAAAAGATGAATGGACATTAAATGGACACCAAAAAAAACCCCCAAAACAAAAACAGATAAAACCAATTTGGAGGAAACAGAGAATGCAGGCACAGAAGAAAACAGAAACAAAGTAAATGAAAAACAAATTAAAAATTCCATAATTCATGTCCTCATTGATTAGAGAAGACATAACAACAATGTATCAAGAACAGGATGCTGGAGGGGCCGGCCCGTCGCTGAGCAGTTAAGTTCACGCACTCCACTTCATCGGCCCAGGGTTTCGCCGGTTCAGATCCTGGGCATGGACATGGCACCGCTCATCAGGCCATGCTGAGATGGCATCCCACATAGCACAGCACAAGGCACTCACAACTAGAATATATACCTATGTACTGGTGGGCTTTGGGAAGAAAAAAATAAAAATAAATTTAAAAAATATTAATAATAATTTAAAAGAAAGAAGATTGGCAACAGTTGTTAGCTCAGGTGCCAATCTTAAAAAAAAAAAAAGAACAGGATGCTGGAGGAAAAAGGGCGAAGAGGAGAAACACAGGAAAGAGGGAGAAAAAGGAAGGGGATAAACAAGAGGAGGGGAAGGAGAGGACTGAGACAAAGGGAGAAAAGCAGTAGAATAAGGAATGCAATGGGGTAGAGTGACGAGGAAGAAGGGGGAAGTAAGAGAAGAAGAAGGAAGCAATGAGAAGACAAGAGTGAGCTCTTGGAAATTAACAATTTGATATAAATTATAATATAATATAATAATATATTTATTATATTTATATTTATATATTATTATATAAATATAATAATATATAAAGTATATAAAAATATAAAATACAATAGAAAGGAGACACTTGCAGATCTGGTCACAGCAGTCTGTCTATTACAACAGTCTCCTTCCCACTGTTGCAAAAGTCTCTTTCCAGCCACCCTTCTCCCCCAGTAATCTTATTAAATAAAGTCTCTCCTTACTATGTGAAAAGAAAAGTAACAGAAAGGAAAGAATAAGGTGAATCAATCTCCTAAAAAGTAAGATGATTAAATCAGAGATCTAATGTTTTCTGCAGAAATGAAAGAAAAAAGACCATAGCACCTTGTGTCATTGTGAAATTTCAGAACACCGCAGAGAAAGAGATGGGTTTGATTCCAAAGCTTTCAGAAAGGGGAAGGGTGCATACAAAAGATTAAGCATAAGAATAGTATCAAATTCTCAATGGTAATCTTAGAAGATGGAGCAATGCCTTCAAAATTCTGAGAGAAAATGAAATTCAACCCAGAAATCTCTACCAGCCAAACAATCAATGTGTTGAGAGAATACAAGTAGTTTTAGATACTCACAAAAATAACCTCTTATACATCCTTTCTCATGAAGCTACTGGAGAACATGTGCCACCAAAATAAGGATGTAAACCAAGAATGAAGACATGGGATACAGGAAATAGCAGAATCGATGCAGGAAAGAGTTAAAGAAATTTCTTGGATCACAGCTGTGTAGCAGGCTTAAAGAGCTACCTGTTTAGATTGTAACAAGAAGACAAAGGGCTCCAGGAAAAAAAGTAGACTGACAGGTAATCTAACACATTTGGCAGTAGAAAATTGTATCAAGAGGCCGTGGGAAGAGTACAGGAAGATTTTGCTTAGTTTCCTTATACCTAGTCTAATGGAGCAAAAAAATAGAGCAATTATTTATGTCCAGGAAAAATAAAAGTTCTGAGAAGAAACATAATAATAGTATACTATTTGACTCAGCGGCAAACTACACCAGAATCATAATTATTTAAACATAGAGTATTGATTGAAGCAAAGATGGTGAAATAACTACACGGGGAGGATGGGAAAGGAGGAGCAGAATCAAGGTGCTACAAGAGAACTTAAATCTCACCTATCAGTCTTTAGATTAGTGATTCCAAAGAGAACAGTATAACATTGAGACATGTAATAACATTGAAAAGTGTGGTTTTAAATATTGAAAGAAATACCAAAAAGACCTGAAGGAGATTATCTCTGGGGGAGCAGACAAAGGAAAGGCTTTAAAATGAACAATTCAGTAGCATTTAAGTACAGTTACAATGTTGTGCAAACACTACCTTTATCTAGTACCAAAACATTTCATCAGCCTGAAAGGAACCCCTGTATCCATTATGCATAGCAATTGCCCCTCCCTCTAGGCCCTGACAACCACCTGTGAGCTTTCTGTCTCTACAGATTTTAACTCTTCTATTTTTTCATAAAAATAGATTTATACAGTATGCGATTTTTTGTGTCTGGCTTCTTTCACTTAGCATGTTTTTAAGGTTCATTCACATTGTACTATGAATCAGGACTTCATTTCTTTTTATTACTGAATAATATTTTATTTTATATATATATATATATACATACACACACATACATACACACTATAATTTGTTTATCCATTCATCTGTTGATGGACATTTGGGTAGTTTCTACCTTTTGGCTATTGTGAAGAGTGCTGCTATGAACATGCATTTACTAGTATTTGTTTGAGTATCCGTTTTCAATTCTTTATTTTTTAATTTTTTCATTTTTTGAGGAAGATTAGCCCTGAGCTAACATCTACTGCCAATCCTTCTCTTTTTCTTTTGCTAAGGAAGACTGGCCCTGAGCTAACATCCGTGCCCATCTTCATCTACTTTATATGTGGGACGCCTGCCACAGCACAGCTTGCCAAGTGGTGCCATGACCACACCTGGGATCTGAACCAGCGAACCCTGCGCCACCAAAGCAGAACATGTGAACTTAACCACTGTGCCACTGGGCCGGCCCCTGTTTTCAATTCTTTTGAGGATATATCTAGGAGTGGAAATGCTGGGTCATATGGTAATTCTACATTTAACTTTACCCACCTATGTATAGGTTTGATTAAACCCATACATCTATGGTCAACTGATCTTAAACAAGATTGCCAAGACCATTCAATGGGGAAAGAACAGTCTATTCAACAAATGGTGCTGAGACAACTGGATATCCACATGCAAACTAATGAAGGTGGACCCTACCTCACAGCATATACAAATATTAACTCAAAATTGGTCAGAGGCCTAAATTTAAGAGCTTAAACTAAAAACCCTTAGAAGAAAACGTAGGAGTAAATCTTCAAAACTTGAGTTTGGCAAAAGATTCTTAGATATGACACCAAATGCTCAGGCAACAAAACAAAAAGCAGATAAATTGGACTTCATCAAAATTAAAAACTTTTGTGTTTCAAAATATATCATCAAAAAAGTGAAAAGACAACCTCCCCAAAAATGGGAGAACATATTTGCAAATAATATACCTGATAAGGGATATCTTCTTTATCTAGAATACATAAAGAATTCCTAAAATTCAATTTAAAAAAAAGACAAATAACTCAATTAAAATGGGCAAAGGACCCGAACAGACATTTCTTCAAGGAAGCTATACATATGACCAATAAGCACATGAGAAAATGCTCAACATCATTAATCATTAGGGAAATGCAAATCAAAACCACAA